TGGTTCTTCCGATGCTCTTTTCTCCCAAATGTTAGTAACAGCAAGATGCTAATAGTGGCAAGGTGTTAAAAATTCCTGAAGGGACTAACAACAGAACAAACTGCTACCAATGAGTTGATTATTAGGCTAAAATTTCAAATGGGCTCCAACCCAGTGTCTGAACCTGTACTGGCAATTTTGAATACAGAGAGTTTTTTGTACCTGGATTTTTTTATGTACATTTTCAGTGCAAGTGGAAAGTGCAATTAGATACCTAAGTCCTTTAACATGCAAGGAAATTGAACCTCATGCATAGATTACTGTGTTTGCATATGTGGTGGGGGGAGGGAAGAGAAACTGGTTTGCAAAAAATTGCTAGAAAGGCACTCAAGCAGGAACATTTAATTCCAGGTTTTTAATAGCCCAACGCCTGAGGGGGTTAGCAGAGGCTTGACTCTTGCTCAGCTCTGAAATGTCCCTGACTAGGAGGCGTCAGCTCTAGAGGTGACTTGGCACCGCTGGCTCTTTGTTTTTCCTATAGCTTGGATATTTTAGTGGCCACAGCCTCTGTGCTGCAAGGGGCCATTGTCAGAGTACCTTTTGCAAGCTTTATTCCATAGCAGGGTATGCAGAGGAGGAAACACAGGGCCAGATTCTACTCTTGCTCCCACTGGGGAGTTCAGGAACAAGCCCACAGAAAACAATGGAATTACATGAGAGAAAATCAGAGTGGAGAAGAGAGCGGAATTGGACCACCTGGCTCCTCGTGACTGCATTTGTTCCTCTGTACCAAGGTGTTTCCCTATATCCCTCGTGTTCCCCATGAAAAGCAGCAAACTGAACCATGACAGTGACTAGCGCCAGTAGAAGACACTCCGTGATGACCAGCATGGGCAAGATTGTGGCTCCACTTTTGTGGCTGAGCAGCAGGGAAAGGGAGTATGGAGACTAGCCCATACAAGGCCAACTAGAGGTCTGGCCTCTGCTGCAGTGGGAGTGCTGAGGTGATGATAAGAACATAAGAATGGCCACACTGGGTCAGACCACAGGTCCATCCAGCCCAGTATCCTGGCTTCCAACAATGGCCAGTGCCAGGTGCCCCAGAGGGAATGAACAGAACAGGCAATCATCCAGTGATCCACCCTCTGTCACCAATTCCCAGATTCTGGCAAACAGAGGCTAGGGACACCATCCTTGCCCATCCTGGCTAATAGCCACTGATGGACCTAGCCTCCATGAACTTAGCTTGTTCTTTTTTGAACCCTGTTATAGTCTTGGCCTTCACAACATCCTCTGGCAAAGAGTTCCACAGCTTGACTGTGCATTATGTGAAGAAATACTTCCTTTTGTTTGTTTTAAACTTGCTGCCTATTCATTTCATTTGGTAACTCCTACTTCTTGTGTTATATGAATGAGTAAATAACACTTCCTTATTCACTTTCTCCACACCAGTCATGATTTTATAGACCTCTATCATATCCCTCCTTAGTCGTCTCTTTTCCCAGATGAAAAGTCCCAATCTTATCTCATACGGAGGCCATTTCACATCCCTAATCATTTTTGTTGCCCTTTTCTGAACCTTTTCCAAGTCCAATATATCTTTTTTGAGATGGGGCGACCACATCTGCATGCAACATTCACGATGTGGGCGTACCATGGATTATATAGAGGCAATATGCTATTTTCTGTCTTATTATCTATCCCTTTTCTAATGAGTCCCAACATTCTGTTTGTTTTTTTGGCTGCCGCTGCACATTGAGCAGATCTTCGCAGGAAACTATCCATATGACTCCAAGATCTCGCTCGAGTGGTAACAGCTAATTTAGACCCCATCATTTTATATGTATAGTTAGGAGTCTATTTTCCAATGTGCATTACTTGGCATTTATCAACACTGACATTTTGTTACCCAGTCACCTAGAGATCCCTTTGTAACTCTTCACAGATGATGGAGGAGTTTCTTCTCACATGGTCCCTTGGAACAGCTCACCGGAAAGGGGTTGGAGCAAGAGATGCCATGGAAGGTCAGGAGCAAACTGTGAAGAGGGCAGGGTGCTGGGCACCTCCACAAGGAGGTGGGGGAGAAGCAGTGGCAGCAAAGGGAGTGCTCAGAATCCAACGCCTTACACTGAGAACAGGCGCCCTGAGCACCCTGGAAAAGCTGGCCTTTGTGGCTGGTTCATTTATCGATATTGCGAGCTTCACAGCCAAATATCGAGGAGGCGGGACTCCCATTAGGGTGCAAACCCCCGGAGTATTTCAGCGACATCATGTTTAGAGGCTGCAAGTGTGGGAGACTTTCCCAGTCATTGACCATGGAGAAAAAGAGCTGGTGGCATGTGGAACTGTGGCCCACTGACTGGTACTTTCTGGTTGGCCAGTTTGCCAAGGTGGGTGGGGTCGGGACAAAGCTACACACATTTGTTTAAAAATCTGGTCTCATAGTCCTTGGGGCCTTGCCTGACCCATGATAGCCCACAGGAAATATCCCAACTGTGCCTGAATCCTTGGTCGGCCCCATGAAAACCTGGGCCCATGGCCTCAGTTGCTTGAGGGATGTAACGAGTTAGGGGGCTGACAGCCTACTTGCTATGCCTTTTAAGTCATAGATCAAGCCAGTATTCCCAGTCCTCTCCTCCTTAGGGCTGCGGGAAGTGTACGAATGAGCCAGGTGCTAGTGGCAGGCCTAGATTTAAATAGGGCTTTTTTACTTACCATATAACTGCAGAGTTTCTTGAGCTGACTTTTCTAATCTGTCCCTAGCCACCACTAAGTCTTTAACATATCCCCCCCCCCCCCCCATCTATTGCAAATTCTACTTTTTAAGACAGGAGGGAAACCCCCACCCCGCCACCCTCCATCCTGCATCAAGGGGTTGTTTTGCACATAATGCCACAAGGGGATTTTTTTTTTAATTAGACCTTTGATATGGCATCCTCATTAACACAAATGAAATGTTCCTTGCAGATCAGTCGTCATCTGCTAGGCAGACGTGATATGAAGTGCTTGGTGTCCTGCCTTCATTACTGGCTACAAAATTAATACAAGAATATTCCATACTTAATATGAAGCCATCAAATGCAAGGGTTGAAAATAGCTTGCAAATGTAATTGAAGCACAGGTCTTCCACATCCACCTACCTGGATGGAATGGCAATTGTCTTCCTTAGCGTTGAAGAATCAGCTCTACTTTACATATTCAAATGCAAAAGGAGGACCTTTCAGACTGGTTCATTTGCTGGGTTCTTGGAAAGTGCTCAGTTTCCCAAGCTTTTCTGGCTTGCCATTGTGCCTTCCTTTTCTGTATTTCACCTCTTGTTCAGGGACTAAAATGTACAGACGCTGTCAGAAGGGGATTTCTGTTTACTTTGACTGGAAATAAAATAGCATTAGAATGGTTGAGGCTTTTCAAAAGTCTGTGGAAGATGTCTGCTGTCATGTTAAATCTGTGATAGCAAACTCAGGCTTCCTGGAGCTACTTTTACAAAGTATCAGAGCAATAACTAGAGCTACGCTTGGAAGGATTAGTTTTATATGTCAATTTCATTGTACACACACAAACCAACAAAAATATTTCCGTCGCTAATAATCAAAACGTACTGACAGGCAAAGTAAGAGAAATGCTGTGTGAGAGTTTGATTTGAGGATATTTACTTTGTACAGTTTGACATGTGATGTTGATGGTTATAAAGTTTTAACTGTTTGAATCTCAATCTCTCCTGTCATTAAATAACTGTCTGACTTCCTCCCCCAGCATTTCCTGCAACTGTGAAAATTTAAATTGATGAAAACTGAAAGAAATGCATAAAACCCCATAATTCTGTGTAACTGTGAAAATTGTAATCGATAATAATCGGAAAAATACTTACAAATAAACGTTGCTATTATCTGTCACAAGTATTAAAAAAATGAATTCTGCCAAGCCTAACTCTAGCCGAATGCGTTTGTTTTGCTCCTGATGTTACTCTCTGTATTTGCTCAGCAGCTTTCTAAGTCAATGGGCCAAATTTATCCCTGGTCCTGGCCGGACTTTGGCCCAAGCACTGTGTATACCCTGGGCATTTCCACTAAGTCTCAAATCAGACTGTGCTTCAGTGACACTCCTGGAGGAATTATTTATTTACACATTTTCGGGCATGTTTGATTTGTTTGATGCAGTGTTGGGTCAATCTGGTGGCATTTGAATCCTGATTCGGATCTGACGCCGAACTTCTCTGAAGTTCAGGTATGTTCACGGCTGATGGCCCATGCCAGCCCCACTGCAAAGATGGCGTACAGGTTGCCGTGGTTTAAAGCAGCAATCGCAGAGTATCCGAGCTATTGCCGTTCTCACCCATTCTGCATTAAGAACACAGTTGTCCCACATGCCACTGTGTGGCAAGGGATGACAAAAGCTGCCTTCTTCTAGTGACAACTGTAGACCCGAGCTGCAAAACTCAGCTTGGGATCGGGAGCCTGGTGCGTCAGCTCAGGGCTCTTGCCAGGACATTGTACGTCCATTTGCCTTCATTTCAGCCACATATTCTCTGTGATGCACTGGCAATAAACAGCGAAACGACTGCAGAGTCTCCTCAGAGCAGCACTGCAGAGGATCGTTATTACTGAGCGAGTACGTCACGTGAATAACAACCAACCAAAGTTAACATGTTTTGTTGCAAGCAACAACCCTTACCTCATAGTGTGTAACGTGCTGAATACCACATGAGCAGCTTCACATTTTGATGAATTCCCTAAAGCATATTGCACTATCTTAAACCCCTACAACTTTGTACCAACACCTTAAAAGTAAGAGTGGAATGTATGATCTTAAGAAAATTTATGCATTTCTTGTTCTATTATCTGATCTAGCAAAATGGTAGCTCTCCAGGCTTATCGTATCTCGGCTATAACAAAGCTTTGGTTTCTGAGAGGCACAGTAGTACTAAAAGATGTAGTTTTTCTGCGCTACACTACATTACAAACAGAATGTCGTTAGGCACAACATGGAGCCAATATTTTGTAATGTAACACACCAGACAAATATTGCTGCGGATATTTAATTTCCATTTAGGCCCAGGGCCAATTGTAAAAGAGTCATTCCCACGTACATCATTCAGAAAATATGAGCCATTAGGTTGTGTTGAACGCAGTCTGTCAGTTGACTTAGCTGAAATTCAACCCCACTGATATCCAACGGTACAATAGAGTGTTTCATGGACGAATCCATTGTTTGTAGAATGTCATCTAAGCTGGTTAGCTGCAGGTCCAATGTCACAGAGTGCTGGAGAATGAGTCCCTTTTTTGGTTTTCTTATGCTCTAGGATTTGTTCCAGATTGTCTCACCTGAAAAATATTGACCATTAAAAGCTTCATTAGACATTAAGCTAAATGCAATAACATATTTGATCTGTAATAGTAAGATAAAATGAGTTTGTTTATTGTTAATTGGCTAGATGCTGATTAGCACTGTGCAAAGGGAACCAGTGATTATGATGGAGAAAATGAAATACTCAGGGTTAAAGCCAGCTAGCGCATATTCCAGTTCATATGGCAGCAGCTAGTATTTGGAGGGGAGAACAATACCTGTACAGTGGTACTGTAAAATATATTATAGCAAGTCATTTGACTGCAGACTGCTGCGCTGGGCATCACAAAATGGGGAAGAGATGGCCAGCCCTCTGTGGAGATAGAGGTAGTTAGGGACTATTTAGAAAAGCTGGATGTGCACAAGTCCATGGGGCCGGACGAGTTGCATCCGAGAGTGCTGAAGGAATTGGCGGCTGTGATTGCAGAGCCATTGGCCATTATCTTTGAAAACTCGTGGCGAACGGGGGAAGTCCCGGATGACTGGAAAAAGGCTAATGTAGTGCCAATCTTTAAAAAAGGGAAGAAGGAGGATCCTGGGAACTACAGGCCAGTCAGCCTCACCTCAGTCCCTGGAAAAATCATGGAGCAGGTCCTCAAAGAATCAATCCTGAAGCACTTGCATGAGAGGAAAGTGATCAGGAACAGCCAGCATGGATTCACCAAGGGAAGGTCATGCCTGACTAATCTAATCGCCTTTTATGATGAGATTACTGGTTCTGTGGATGAAGGGAAAGCAGTGGATGTATTGTTTCTTGACTTTAGCAAAGCTTTTGACACGGTCTCCCACAGTATTCTTGTCAGCAAGTTAAAGAAGTATGGGCTGGATGAATGCACTATAAGGTGGGTAGAAAGCTGGCTAGATTGTCGGGCTCAACGGGTAGTGATCAATGGCTCCATGTCTAGTTGGCAGCCAGTATCAAGTGGAGTGCCCCAAGGGTCGGTCCTGGGGCCGGTTTTGTTCAATATCTTCATAAATGATCTGGAGGATGGTGTGGATTGCACTCTCAGCAAATTTGCGGATGATACTAAACTGGGAGGAGTGGTAGATACGCTGGAGGGGAGGGATAGGATACAGAAGGACTTAGACAAATTGGAGGATTGGGCCAAAAGAAATCTGATGAGGTTCAATAAGGATAAGTGCAGGGTCCTGCACTTAGGACGGAAGAACCCAATGCACAGCTACAGACTAGGGACCGAATGGCTAGGCAGCAGTTCTGCGGAAAAGGACCTAGGGGTGACAGTGGACGAGAAGCTGGATATGAGTCAGCAGTGTGCCCTTGTTGCCAAGAAGGCCAATGGCATTTTGGGATGTATAAGTAGGGGCATAGCGAGCAGATCGAGGGACGTGATCGTTCCCCTCTATTCGACATTGGTGAGGCCTCATCTGGAGTACTGTGTCCAGTTTTGGGCCCCACACTACAAGAAGGATGTGGATAAATTGGAGAGAGTCCAGCGAAGGGCAACAAAAATGATTAGGGGTCTGGAACACATGAGTTATGAGGAGAGGCTGAGGGAGCTGGGATTGTTTAGCCTGCAGAAGAGAAGAATGAGGGGGGATTTGATAGCTGCTTTCAACTACCTGAAAGGGGGTTCCAAAGAGGATGGCTCTAGACTGTTCTCAATGGTAGCAGATGACAGAACGAGGAGTAATGGTCTCAAGTTGCAGTGGGGGAGGTTTAGATTGGATATTAGGAAAAACTTTTTCACTAAGAGGGTGGTGAAACACTGGAATGCGTTACCTAGGGAGGTGGTAGAATCTCCTTCCTTAGAGGTTTTTAAGGTCAGGCTTGACAAAGCCCTGGCTGGGATGATTTAACTGGGAATTGGTCCTGCTTCGAGCAGGGGGTTGGACTAGATGACCTTCTGGGGTCCCTTCCAACCCTCATATTCTATGATTCTATGACTATTCATGTGGATGATATCGATTTACATTATACAGATCAAGCCCATGGGCCAATACCTTGTGGTCACATAGTGCTTTTCAGATGTGGATCTCAAAGCACTTTGCAAAGGAGGTCAGTGGCATTATGTTTATTTTACAGAAGGGAAACTAAGCCACAGAGTGAGGAAGATTCAGGGATAGCTGATAGCTCAGTGGTTTGAGCATTGGCCTGCTAAACCCAGGGTTGTGAGTTCAATCCTTGAGGGGGCCATTTAGGGATCTGGGGCAAAAATTGGGGATTGGTCCTGCTTCAAGCAGGGGGTTGGACTAGATGACCTTCTGAGGTCCCTTCCAAACCTAACCTTCTGAAAAAAAAAAAAAATGATGGGGCGGGGCCACAGTTTGGGCGCCAGTGGCTCTCCTGCTTTTAGGAAGCTTTCATTGCTCCTGCTTCTGGGTGGAGCCCCCCACCCAGAAACTTTCAAGTGTCCTATGAATCCAAACCCCAGTCTTGGGCCAGCCCTGGAGCAGAGAATTTCACCCTCAAAAAAAGATCAAAGGCAGTTTACTCTTGAGATCTTTGCAGGAAAAGGCCGTTTCATCAACCCTTTACTGTGCAGCTGTATATGGCACGGCCCAAAGGGACATCGTGTGTCCTCCATCTGCCGTCATGAGAGCGTTGCGTGTGGACACAAAACGTCCCATCCTGACACACACTAGTGACTGCACTGACCTGAGGGGGCCACTGGAATAGATAAATACCAAAGTCAGGTCCTGACTACGGAGAACAGCCAATCACAGCCCTGAAAATCAAAATCTAACTGCCTCCCCTTGACAAAGCTACACTGAAATCACTGCATTGCATCATCAACCATGTTTTCAAATGTCTTCACTAATTTGCATCCATAGAAGGTTGGCAGTTGCTCAGCCCCAGGTATCTGCACATGCAAATGTTAGCATGCAGAAACACGTTTGCATTTGTGAATGCAATGACCAGGACTTCCATGGGTACCAAAGTGTTCTGGTGACTGTGGACGGGGCAAATGGGAAGGACAAATTGTACAATGTGTCCAACATCACTCCCTTTTCACATATTTACTCCCCCGAATGGCTATTTATACCTTGCCATTGCCGCAGCTTGGATATTGAAACTCACGGGAGTGCATAAGCTGCAAGGTCATATTCAGATTGCTGCTTTAAATCTCTCTCTCTCTTATGTGGTGTTCACAACAGTACAGTAACACCACTTCGATGGTAGCTGAGCTCTGTTTTGCTTGGTGTCTTACCACACGCCCACTTCTTTGTTTGGTTGTCTCTTCTCCCTGAAACATATGTTTCCCCGTTACATGGCATTTTGAGCACTAACGTCTCCATTGTAGGCTACCCCTTGAGTGACATTTGCATGGCAGGCTGTAAGTTACTTGTGAATCTGCTTTAAACAGGGCTTCCCTGCTTAGTCGGTGAATCGTGTAACTCACGCCATGGACGAATTTGCAGGGATCAGAGCCCAGCTCCATTTCAACACAGGTTCAGATCTGAGCATCCTTGACGTTTCTTTTCATCAGTATTCTCTGAAACATTATCTTCGCCCTATGCCTCTCCTGGTCTCTTCTAGATCCCGGGATGCTCCCTTCCCTAAGTTGTGCCCTAACCCCTGCTCCTGGTGATTAATCAAGTACGAAACCAGATCAGCATATCCGGTTGTTGAAATTTGGGATTCAAACTTGTGTGTGAACAGAACGTCTGACCCTTCTGAGTTTTCACTATTAACCCCAATAAAAGCAATACTTCGTACAGTACAATTCAATGCATCTGCCTCTGTGTCTGATGCTTCTCCTGCAGCTATGACCACAGGACCTAGGTGCTGATCTGTGGCCTTCAAAGTACCCTACAAAGCTGAGTAAATATTGCTAACCCCAGGGAAGGGGAAGCCCAGAGTTCCCTTTGAAGTTCACCCCTGTGCAGAGACAGCACTAGGTCAGTGCACCACTTAAATCCTCAAATGAGGACTGATGTGGTACATAGGCTTTCAGGTGGCCCCCTGCAGCGGGGTGAATTTCACTCAGACTGCCCTCCCCAGCTTCTTCATTTTCACTGGGCTACAAAGAAAAAAAATTATTCTGACACACCCAGACTAGAACAAGAATCAACATTCATTTTGCAGTAGGTACATTATATATTAACACATCACACTTATGGGGAAACCTTTTCCCTTAAGCATTACATGGTTCATTAGTAGTCACTGTAATTCCATTGCTCTTATATCTGCAGCTTCCATGTGAGAGGTATTTTAAGAGACGTTAGACAAAGTTTTTACACTTCAGACGACACTCTCACAGACCAGGTGGTGTTTGTTCAGGAAGCTTCTGGTGATATTAACTTTTCCTTGCATTCAGTTGAAATGAAAAAGGATTAGTTTATATTTACTTGTTTCTTATTGCAGGAAAACTAATTTTGGGGGAAGAATAGACCCTGTAATATGACACATTCTTCTCTTCAACCTTTCCAGCTAGTCAAAATAACATCAAATGCACACCGGGAACATTCTCGTCTATTGACGGATTCTTATGATGCTGCTTCTCAAGGTGACCTTCATAAAACCTATCTCCTTTGGAGCTTAAGCTTCACCCTCTTAGGTCGTAATGGTTTCCCGTGGACACCGAGTTCCTGATTTCTAACTGATGGTGCTTAGAGGCTGCTGAGTGTGAGATATTATTAATAGCACTTAAGGCTGGAGTGTGTAGAAATCTATAGCTGATTAGGAAAATGGGTGTTTGCGTAGCGATTACGTGCAGACACTGCCTGAGTGCAGTCACAGTCAGATCTCACCGATGCAGCGTGCTTAGTGCCACAGGGCTAAGATGTAGCCCTAGCCCCAGCCCAGCATAAACTCTCAGCCAGCCTGCCTGAGAGAGCCAGGCCGGGGGCCATAGCTCGCCCTTGCCCTCTGCTCTTCCCACTCCAGAGGAGTCTTCTGCTGCTATTGGGGGGACCTGAATTCTGTCCAATGTGGAAGGCTGCAGTGGGGTGGGCCAGGGGATCAGATCTGATTGAAGGCAGATCCAGTGGTCAAGCACCCTGTGGAACTGGCTGG